GTATACGGTTTCCAATGAACAGTGGGTGGGTTTGAATCTCCGACCTTGTGGTTCAAAGTGACCTGGTGGTCCAGTGCATTATCCTATAGCATAACACCAGGACTCCAAATAAGTCATTAGAATTGCAAAATTCTATCATGTGAGCTCAAGCATCATTTCTACCATCTAGGCCATTATTTACCAATTACTGATCCTTCTTCTTTTTCCAAGTTTCTCATTCTAATTACCCATAGTTAGCAATACATCTTGGTTACATGTTTGATCATTTTCAGATTGAAGATGTTGACAGACAATTTCACCCTTGCTCACTTAAGTGGTTGCTGTGTAAATTTGAGTAATAGTGGTATTAACTGGCTTTCCTTGTTGTTGTTAAGTGCCATCGAGTCGATTCTGACTCATAGTAACCCTGTATAGGGTTTCCAAGGAGCAGCTGGTGAGCTTAAACCGCTGACCTTGCAGTTCAAACGACTTTGCAGTCTGACGCATTAGCCCACAGCATCACACCAGGACTCCTTGTAGGCATATGGATATTACCCTATCACAGACAGCACTGTATTTCAAGACAAATCTTGATATGTTCTTTTTGATGATGAATGTGACATCATTTCTTTTCCGTTTGTCATTACTGGCATAGTAAACCATGTGACTGTCAGATTCAAAATGGCCAATACCAGTCCATCTCATCTCACTAATGCTTAGGATATCGATGTTTACATGTTGCATTTCATTTTTGACAACTTCCAATTTTCCTAGATTCATACTTTGTATATTCCATGTTGTGATTATTAATGTATGTTTACAACTGATTCTCTTCATTTTGAGTGTGCCTCATCAGCAAATGAAGGACCTGACTTTACTTCATTTGCATTACCATGGTCACCTACTCTACTTTGAGGAGACTGCTCTTCCCCAGTTGGACTTTGAGTGCTTTCCAACCTGATGGGCTCATTTTCTGGCACTATCAGACAGTGTTTCACTGCTATTTATATGGTTTTCAGTAGCTAATCATTCAGAAGTAGTCCACCTCTCCTCCTTCCTAGTCTGTCTTAGTCTGGAAGGTCAGGTGAAACCTGCCCACATGGGTCACCCTACTGGTATTTAAAATACCGGTGGCAGAGCTTCAAGCAGCACAGCAGCACACAAGCCACCACAGTGTGAGCAATTGACAGAGGAGTGGTGGAGGACTCCATTACTACCTGCTGATCCTGTGGTGCTGCAGGATCAGCACTAGACTGTGAACCACAAAGGCAGTAGTTCAAACCCACTAGCTGCTCCTTGGAAACCCTATATAGGCTCACTATGAGTCAGAACTGACTTGATGTCACTTAACAATAACAACAACAATTCCAAAACCAAGTCCTCTCCTTCCCTGACTCACAGGGGAATACAGTGCAGTCTAATAGCTCGTTTCTTGAGATAAGCACAAAGTTGTTTTAAGGGTCATCACTAATAATTAATAAAGTGCTTTCCATTAAACTCTTTACTGTTTCTCTACGTAACTCTCAGGTTTTCCCATCAGAAAATTGTATTACGGTGGTTTTAAAAACAGAATCCTTATCGTTTACATAAACTGAAATATTTAACAAGGTAGAGATATGTTTGGGATTTGCTTCAAAAGAATCCTGTGGGAATGGTGAGGACTAAACAAACAAGAGTGGTCATAAATTCATGATTATTGAAGCTGGTTAATGGAAGTTAATACACTATTGTGCCTACTGATGGGGGAAGGAACTAATACTAATGCCAGGATAAGACGGGGCACTGGGGTAGAGTCGAGAGGAGGAAGACAAGTCAGGGTAGCTGAGGGAAGAATTCTTATATTCATCAGAAGACAGAGGCGGAAGCTCCAAGTTGCTATGCATAGTAAGTCAGGGCCTGACAGAGCTAAGAGAGTTGAGAAAAGGGAGAAAGCAGTAAGGCTGGACTATCAAGAGCAGGGAGCAATCAGGAGATGGAATTTAAGTTCAGCTTGGAAGAGGTGATATTTAGTTGGCTTGAAGCAGGGACATTTAAGTCAAAGATAATGCATGAAGTGAAAAACAGCAAGCACATCACATTTGGAGTCATAGGGAAATGAGGCTGCACTTGAGTTTTTAGTGAGAGTGACAGAGTGGACTATTTTAGGATGATGAATTTAACGGCACTGCACAGAACCTCAGTTTGGGGTCTGCAAGTGTGATGGAGACTTGACTGGTAAGGGCATGGACATGAGTTGTGGCAATAGAGGAGAAAGGTAGCAGGAGATGCGGAGGAGGAAACCTGGGCAGGTGGATGCTGGGCTCAGAGAAGAAGAGTTGGAAGATATCTAATAGGTTTCAGCTGAGACTCTGAATGTACATCTGCTGACTACACGAAGAAGTACAGAAAAGGTTCTAGACCAGAAACCAAGCCTCAATCTGGGAAAATTAGGAAAGTAAACCAGATTAAAAGCAAAGAAGTAGTCAAAATAGTTTAAAAAGAAGAGTCTAGCACTAAGGCCCGCAACAGAAGCAATGCTTTAAAGACAATGGTTTAACATAACCAGATCGAGAAGCCAGGTTGAGAATAAGAACTGAGGCCACGTCACTGGATCTGCTCAGATGACTGGAAACCTGAGACAGTAGTTTTAGTAAAATGAAAATCCGTCCACTAAGCAGTTAGCAAAGTGCAAAACGGAAGGAAAGAGATGATTAGAGGGTGAATCAAAGAGGCAGCTGAGTAAAATGAAAGAATATGAGTTTATTTTAAATAAATAAGAACTATGTATATTGTATCCGCGGGAGAAAGACGAGGCTTTCTACTCCCGTAAAGATTTACACCCTCGGAAACCCTGTACAGGGTCGCTATGGGTCGGACCCGACTCGACGGCACTTAACAACAACAACAACAATGTATATTGTATATGTATAAGGAGCGCTGGTAGCGTAGTCATTGAGAATCGGGCTGTGAACCTCAAGGTCAGCAGTTCAAAACCACCAGCTGTTCCGCGGGAGAAAGATGAGACTTTCTGCTCCCGGAAAGATTTTCAGCCTTGGAAAACAGGGTCGCTATGAGTCGGAACCGACTCCATGGCACATTAACAACAACAAGAAGGTATATTGCATGCAAAATTTAAAACAATTCCATGGAGAAAAGAAAATGTTAGGAAGAGCTAAGATAACATGAGATTCCTGAGGAAATGCAGTAGGGGTACCATTGCTGTTGTTGCTATGAGATGTTGAGTTGGTTCCGACTCATAGCAACCCTGTATAGGGTTTCCGAAGAGGGGCTGGTGAGGTTTGAACTACAGACCTTGCAGTCCAGCCACACCAGGACTCCAAGGGCAGCATTAGAAAGGAGCAAACAAAACTCTTCCTCTATAATAGGTGAGAAAGAAGAGTGTGCAAAGTTGGGACAATGTTGTCTGATAGACAAAGGAGAGTAGTGGAGAGAAAGAGTCTGAGGCAGCCCTGTGAGGGCCTTGGAATGAGGAACTCGGATGTTATACTGTAGCTAAAGGTGAACTCTGGAAAGGCTAAAGAGCTGGCCTGAAAGCATCATTTTAAAGAAAAATAAACTGATGACAGAACACAGAATTGAAGGGGAGAGAGTGAATGATGGGAGTGAGGTGACTGCAGATAAGGGTCCAGGTTAAAAGCATTTTTCCAGAAAATTTTATTTTTTAGGCATTGTGACTATATGTCACCTTTTTCTACCTTTCTCTTCCAACTCCAAAGTAAATTTGGGGGCAGCTTTGAAAATGATTGTGTTCAGTCATGATGGAGAATCTTTGATCTCATGGCAGTGACTTATGATGGCTTCATATGGGGTACAAAGAGGCAATGTAATACCCAGTCAGGGGCTCTAAAAAGCTCACAGGTACTTCTGGAAAATAGTTATGTGCACTCCTTTCCTACCATGAAATTAGAGAGCTGCTACTTTTAGTCCCTGTTGCTCACTCCCCTATTTGGTTACTACTTATTTAGTCACCTCAAGTTTGCCCCAAGTTATACATACCAGATTTTCCCGAGGAGTTAACTTTTGGATGCTGAGGAAATGTTTAGACAATTAATCACATCATATTAGACCAGATTCTTACAGGTGATTAAGTTCTTTCGTCCATGCTAAACTAAGAATGAATGAGAGTGGTTATACCACTTCGTTACGATTCTCTTATGGAATACTATCACTAATTTTTTTTTTTCCTAATTAAAGTACTAGCTAAGTTTGAGGGGCTTGAAACAAATCCTCTTGCCGGTTAAAGCTCTAGCCTGATCTTTACATCCTATAAGGAACTCAGTTTGAGGACTTGAAAATGGAGGCAGTGAGAGACAGGCAGTGTTGTTTGTCTTTGTGGGTTTTAGTGTGTCCTTGGCTCCCTCCTACTGTCTAGCTTTCCTTCCTGACTATCAGACTTATGAACCTTCAACTTCAGACCAACACCAGCCTTCTATAGAATTCTTCACATGCCTTCACAATTACTTAAGGACCAATCCTTTGATAGCTTCCTCATTTTCAATCTTCAAAGTAGTTCAAGTTCCTTCCTCCAACCTCAATACATCTATCTTGTCATTTTACTTAATAAGTAACATTAAAATATCTTATCACAATTGAGACTCCAGAGTTGCTCAATGCCTACTAGGGAAAACAAAGATAACTTCTTCCTTGTAATATCCATGCTCAGCAAATATGGTGGTAGTGGGCAGGTCAACACTTAAATGCCAAAAGTTGTGCAATCACAGTACTGGGAAGAGAAATAAGAGGCACAAACAGTAACTTCATAAGAAGTCATAAGGTGCTATTCTGCACAAAAATGGCAGGACTGAGATCTCGTTTGTAAGGCAGGCACTTTGATTTGTGATTCTTATAAAGACAGAATAGAGATTCACACAAATTTAAAGTTTCTCTCAAACTTACATAGGTAGTTAGGAAAGATGGTCTCCTTTAATATTTGCTAGTATTTCATTTATGAGAACTCTATGTAGGTTTTCAAGGCTACTTTTATTACCACCCCAATTATATACCCATATTTATACATTTACCTGAAATTCATCCATGATACTGAATGTATACTCATGCCTGGCAATAACGTGATGACAGTTCTTACACAGATCTGTCAAAACAAAGGAAGACTTTCTTAGTTAAGTCTTGAAAGGTCTCTTAAAACAGTAAAATTTCTATTCTCATCATTGTAGTCCTTAAAAAGAACCTTAACTCTTGTCACATTTAACACAGTAGGAAATCCATTATAATACCTACCTTGATAAGAAATCCAGAATCTGTCACATAACATTATATAATGAAGGGGGCTGAACTCAGAGACTTAATGTGCATATAATCCCCACTGAAAACTCTCTAAAGTAATCAATTAACATATATATGTTTTATAAACTAGCTGGACCGATCTATGAGTCAGAATCAACTCAATGGCAGTGGGTTTGGTTTTTTTGGTTTGGACTTATCTATGAAAAGCTTTTAGTCTCAGGAATGATAGAAAGTGTGGTGCTATAATCCATCATAAATGAAAAACCAATGCTCAACAAACTGAATTTACTCTATACATTAAAGACTATAATAAAAACAATATAATACCTAAGATTCATTACTACATACCAGGTGCTAATTAAATTATGGCGTCCTGGTGTGGCACTGGAGGATTAACACTGGACTGCTAACCACAAGGTAGGAAGTTCAAACCCACCAGTCAGTCACTCCTCAGAAACCCTACACAGGGTCGTTATGAGTTAGAACTGATGCAATGACATTTAACAACAATTGCTGAATTATATTATAGGAGCCCCTGTGGCAGAGTGGATTACATGCACCAGGCTGCTAACCTCAAGGTCAGCAGTTCGAATCCACCAGTTGCTCTGTAGGCGGAAGAGGAGGCTTTCTGTAAACTTTATATAAGGTCGCTATGAGTTGGCACCGTTTGAAGACATTTAACAACAATCTCACTATAATCATTCTACTAACACTGCTTTCTTATGCTGCTTGTCTCCTTATTCTTAGGTATCTTCTGAATATAGGAGGAATACATATTTTGGAAGAGGGATATGAAAGGCACTAAACCTTTAGAATGTTGTTGAGTGCCGTCGAGTAGGTGCTGACCCATAGCGACCCTGTACAGCGTTTCCGAGGCTGTAAATCTTTACATGAGCAGAAAGCCTCATCTTTCTCCCCCAGAGCAGCTGGTAGTTTCGAACTGCTCACCTTAAGGTTCACAGCCCGATTCGTAACCACTACGCTACCAGAGCTCCTTTAGAAAAGAGTCAAACAATTGAAAAATGTTCTAACTTAAAAAAATATTTTTTCTTTCTCTTAGCATCTACCCTTTTTAATATTCTCTTTTTTTTTAGGCAGTAAGGCGTAGGGATTTGAGCAAGGGATATAAAGTCAGACTGCCTGGGTTTGAATTCTGGTTCCAACACTTCTCTAGTGAATTGCAGTGTGCCTTTACTTCCGTATCTATTAAGGTATCTAAAGCTTAATGTTTTTTCCTGTGGAGTGGCTAGTGGCTTCATGATTGACCATGACCATGTGGTTAGCAGCCTAGCTCTTAACCACTGTGCCACCAGCAGGCCTTCTCCTGTAAAGGTTGTTGTTGATAAATGCCATCAAGTTAAGTCCTACTCATAACGACCCTGTATAAGGTTTCCAAGGAGCAGCTGGTGGATTTGAACCTCTGGCCTTTTAGTTAGCAAGAGCAGTGCTGATCTTACAGTGCCACACCAGGAGTTCCCATAAAGACTATGGCCTTGCAAAGTCCATTTGGACACTTCTACTCTGTATTAGATAACGGACTTGATGGGACCTTTTTTTAAAAAATTATTACAAGAGCAGATGGTCAGGTCTTTTTTCTCAGAGAGGTTGGTGGAGTCGAACCACTGACCTTTAGTTAATAGCCAAAAGCTTAACCACTACACCACCATGGCTCCTTTATATACTTGTGTAAGTATGGCATTCTGAGGTCACTTAGTATAGAAACAAGAAGCGCGAATGGACCCTAAGGTAACCTAAAAGACAACCTTACATCTTGTTAAGGAAAGTCTAAAGGCATAAAAAGTATGTCTTTGAAAAATAATTTAATAAACAACAATAAAAAAAAAAATGGGTGCCAGAAGCATTAAGCTTTAGTTACCTGCAAGTCATTTGATCTAGCACTATCTGATGATGCTCTATAAATGGGCGTTCTTCTTAAAAGTCTAACCAGTAAATAAATGTTGCAATATGATACTGCAATGGGCTTCAGAATACTTTGTACAACATACGAATTTTCAGAAGTTGACACCTATTAGCAGACTCTAATTTAACAAGATACAAAAAAATCTACTCACGATCATAAGTGACAATTTCTTCTCCATCTTCCTCTTTGAAAGACTTGTTTGTGATCATCATAAAATCCCTCTTACTGCACACTGCACACCCTGTGAAGTTCAGTAAGAAAGATCCATTCTCCAAGCAGGTGGTACCCTAAAATACCAGAAATAGGAATTTTATTTTCTTGGATCTCAAATGTTGTTGTTAAGTGCCATCGAGTTGATTCTGACCCATAGCAACCCTGTACAGGGTTTCTAAGGAGCAGCTGGTGAGCTTGAACCACCGACCTGCAATTCAAGGTCTTGGGTGAAAACAATAAACTTAAATTTTTAATGGCAAAAATATGGCCAAAATGTATTTATTTGAAGGCTATCCCAGGTTAGGTTTTGAGATTACCGACTGTTCTAAAGAAGTACAATTGATGTTAAATAAAACTCAAGTACAATATGACATCTTCAGGTCACTAAGGACAATTATCATTTAAAAGAGGACTAAATGCAAACAGATATTTAAAAATAACTTTATTAACTCTGAATATAACATGAAAAGATAAAACTAGAGAAATTTAATAGCCAAGAATGTTAAGTGGGGTATTATAAAATAAGAATTAAAATTCAATCAAAGTGAAAAAATTAGGCCAATCATAAAGATAATCTTATATCATAAAATTCCAACTCATAGCAACCTTCCTAGGAATGACTGCAGGCCAGTGCATTATCCTGCAGTGCCACATATATATAATGTGACGCTCAATTGTTGGTAAAGCTTCCTCTCAAGCCTCAACAGTGCTACAAAATAAACTTCAACAACAACAAATTCTTAGTTCTAGAGGTATCAGTCCTCAAGCAAATGTGAGTCAGGAAGACAAGACCAGTTCTGCAATTCATCAGGCTGGCACCACAGGTCTTCAAGAAAAGATTTTATCTGATCTCTAAGAAACTATAAACAATATACTCACCTAGCTCCAGGGAGGTCTTTGCCAAAGGACTAACCACAAGGCCAGCAGATCGAAACTACCAGCTATCCCATGGGAGAAAGTTGAGGTTTTCTGCTCCCATCAAGATTTACAGCCTCGGAAACCCTACGCAGCATCGCTATGAGCCAGAACCAACTCCACAGCACACTACCACCACTACCTCTGAGAACCAGAAGTCATTTTATAAATAATTTAGTCCAATCCTATTTTCTGACTTAAAACCATTCCATCCAATCAACATTTTCTCCATTGCAGTTACGTGCTTGATACTGCACAAAGCCTAGTGAATGACTCAAAGGCTAATCAAACATGCTGCTATCTTCAAGGAGCTTATCAAAAAGAAAAAAAAGCTTTTCTTTTGTTTTGTGCTTATTACACATATTTTCCTACTCTTAAGTTTTCAAAGATTTTCTCCTATGCTTTCTTATATAAGCTTTACAGGTTTAGCTTACATGTTTAGTTCTTTGATCCATATTGAATTTTTATATATGGCATGAGTTAAGGATAAAGGCTTAGATATTTATATATCTCCAGTTGTTCCAGCAACATCTATTGTTGAAAGAAATCAAATGACCAGATAGATGCATAGAAGCCTACTTTTGGACTACTCTGTACCCTGGACTTACATGTCTACCTTTACCTGGATACATTTTTATTACAGTAGTTTGATAGCAATCTTATAATTTATAAATTTTTTTTTTCAAAGTCTGCCTAGTCTAGGTCCTTTTCATATCCATTTTTTCCCCTTTTATTTTCATTTACAAAAAAAAAAAAAAAAAAACAACCCAGGACTTGATTTGTCATCTGAGCATCCTTTCAGGGCAGAAAGTGAAATGGGATGCTTTGATTTACTGAAGGAGGCACTGCTAGGTACCACCTGGGCATGCTTCACAGAGCAAGACCCAGCTTATGGTCTCAAGATGACTTGGGACATAACTGTATGTCTCCCTTAAGAGAAGAAGGAAGAAAAGCTGGTGGTGTGAAAGCAAGTGAGTCACACAATTTTATTGGAATTTTGGGAGCTCTGGTAGCGTAGTGGTTACGAATCGGGTTGCGAGCCTTAAGGCCAGCAGTTCGAAACTACCAGCTGTTCCGCGGGAGAAAGCTGAGGCGTTCTGCTCCCGTAAAGATTTACAGCCTCGGAATCCCTGTACAGGGTCGCTATGGGTCGGAAACGACTAACAACAACAACAACAACATATATCTTTGGCAAGTCATCTCATCTCATTGAACCTCGGTTTTCTTATCTATCATTAATATGAGGACCTTGGCTCAGCTTCAGCATTTGTTGTGAAGCTTAAAGGAGACCAAGGCAATACTATTTGAACTATAAAAAGCCTTACAAAATGTAGTTACCATTTTCTAGAAAAAGGAACTCTTCTTGGCAAGTGAAGAGGCATCAGAACAAGCAAATAGTGGTCCACCGAAGGTGTCCTGATGCTGTGGGGCTTTGGAGGCTCTGTAGACTGTTCTGGGGGCATTCCATGTAGATTTAAAAATCAGCTAGTAAACGTTTATAAAAAAGCCTGTTGGGATTTTGATTTAGACGTCTACAGATCAATCTGAGAATGGACATCTTAACAACACTGAGTCTTCCAATCTATGAGCATGGTCTGTCTCTACATTTATTTTTTCAATTTATCGTAGCAATGTTTTCTAGTTTTCAGTGAAAAGATACTGCAATTAAAATCAAAAAAAATTTTTTTTCTTCTTGCTTTTTTAAAAAAATCTGTCTTCCCCATCTACTCTCTTTTGAGTTGTTAAGTGCCGCTGGGTTGGTTCTGACTCAGTAACCCTACATAGGGTTTCCAAGGAGTGTCTGGTGAACTTGAACCACTGACCTTGTGGTTGGAACCAAACTTGCATTCTAGCGCATTAACCCACAGTGCCACACCATCTCTAACCTGTGAATAATTTTCCTTTTCCTTCCACCCCTATAACCATCACAGAATGTTTCTTTCAGCAATGAAAATCTTTTAATAACTTTTTACAACAGTGGCCTCATACAAAAAGACCTCAATGGTCTTTTTGTGATTGACTCATTTCACTCAGCATAATGTCCTCCAAGTTCATCCATGTTATGAGGTGTTTCACAAATTCATCATTATTGTTTATCCATTTTTCTGTTGATGGCATTTAGGCTGTCTGCATCTTTTCTGTTGCTGTGAAAAGTGCTGCAGTGAACATGGGTGCATACATCTACTTGTGTCTTATTACTGAGGACATATACCAAGTACAGAGATTGCTGGGTCATATGGTATTTCTATTTTATTTCCAACTTCTTGAGACAGCACCATACTATTTCCCACAGTGGGTTAGTCACACCATTTTACAGTCCACCTCAGCAGTATAGGAGAGACCCATATTCCACATCCTTGCTAGCATTTGTTTTGTTGAACTTTGCTATTAATGATCTTGCAAATATTTTGCTCAATTTATTCATTACCATATATTGATGCTCTAATGAATTTTTAAAATTTTCATTTTGTTACTGACCAACTTCAATAATCAAAGTGAGCAGGACTATACCCATAAATAAAAGCACCTTATACAATATACTTTTGTCATCTGACCTTGTAAGTACACAAAATGCAAACACTAAGAACAAAATGGGAGAACAGAAAGATCTGCAGTATATATATATATATGTTGTGTGGTAAGGAAATAAACATTTGAAATGGCAGAATGCAAGTACCACATACAAGAAACTGACACACATTTTATAAGGGGCCTCAAAAGTTTCTAGAAAAAATGGAATTAAAAGACAGTGGAATTTTCCACAAATTTGGTTAAGTCCCTTGTATAAAGAGTCAGAGTCATTTGACTACAGTGAGGGTACCCTCCATCAATCAGCCACACCTATTTTATCAGGTGAGGCATGGCTATTAACAGCAAATTTGGGAAAGTAAATAAAAGCACATAGCATTAAAAGAGGAGTCCTGGTATGGTGCTGTAGGATAAGCACTGGACTGCTAACCACAAGGTTGGTAGTTCAAATCCACCGGCTGCTCTTCAGAAACCCTTAAAGGGTCATGATGAATCAGAACAGACTCAACAGCAGTTAACAACAACATTAAAAGAAGTCTTAGGAGAACAAACAAGATGGCGGATCGGGCGGACGTATAGCAGAGAGCTCCGCCAACAACAACACAGAATACCCGACCAAGCAGGCTCAGGGGATGGTCCCAGAACTCTGAACCACATATAAAGGAATACTTAGAAGGTTGGAAGGCTCACAGCTG